GAATCGTACCATAAAAAAACTTATCTTTTAAAAAAAAAGATAAACAAGATGCCAAGTCCATGCGCCATGTGAAAAAGAAATAAAAAAATTTAGTTAAAAAAACTGGGCGCGCTGCTAAGTTTCAAAATTACAATGCACCTTAAAGTAACATTAATTAATTTAAACACAAAACATATTTTAACTGTAATGAGTTTAAAAGTAACAATTTAATTTTAATATTGTTAGAATATTATTTAGCAGCGCTCCCAGTTTTTTTAACTAAAATTTTTTTATTTCTTTTTCACATGGCGCATGGACTTGGCATCTTGTTTATCTTTTTTTTTAAAAGATAAGTTTTTTTATGGTACGATTCTACATTTGCAAATTTAAATTTTTACTGATTCATTATACGACTCTATATATGTCTGCAACTTTAATTTTCCACTGGTACAAGTTTCTACTTTCACTTGGCGCAATTTTTTTTTATTTCATTACTTTTGTTACGATTGTACATGGGTTTATAATCGATAATTTTTCATACAATTCTATTGTACATGGGTTTGCAATGTAGGATTCTACATAAGTTTGCAATGGATAATTTTTAATACAATTCTACATGGGTTTGCAATGGTTAATTTTTCATAGGATTCTACATGAGTTTGCAATGGTTAATTTTTCATAGGATTCTACATAGGTTTGCAATGGGTACGATTCTACATGGGTTTGCAATGGTTAATTTTGCCTAGGATTCTACATGGGTTTGCAATGATTAATTTTTCATAGGATTCTACATGGGTTTGCAATAGGATAGGATTCTACATGGGTTTGCAATGGATAATTTTTGTTAATGGCGTGCCCTTAACTGGTCGCCTTTTTTTACCTTTTTTAAAGGTGAGTTTTTAGAGATTATATCATTCATTTTTGTATATTTTTATGACCGGAATAGAACAATTATTAAACATGTTTATCTAAACTTCTTTGCTTAAAATGATGTGTACAATCATATCCTAGAATCCTGATCATTCCTCCTAAAGCACCCTATTTATATAAATTTACCCATATGTGTGTGTGTGTGTGTGTGTGTGTACTAATGTCGAGCATTTTTTATACATTTTCTATTAAATTTAGATAAAAGTTGCAGGATTTCGAAAAAGAAAAAGTTGACACAGACTTTTTCCTAAACGGCGATTTTCAAGGTTATTTAAAGGTCACTTATATTTTCAAAATAGAATTACCTTAATTTTTCTCATATAAATCGATTCCTCGCAATATTTACTATAAAAAGTTGTAAAGGTATAATTTTTACATAATCTTACATAAACTTCGAAATATTACAAATATTTTATTTTATGAAATATTTCAGTTTATGTAAAATTATGTTAACTATCTTTTAAATTATTCACTTTTAGCCATCTTACCCTTACAACCTTTTATAGTGAATATTGCAACAAATTGGTTTATATATATAATATATATATAACATCAGTTATTATTAATTGATGTTTACATTTATTTTTAGACTTACTAGAGCTCAAATGCTCCACATTTTTTGCAAAAACTGTTTATTCTACAGATTTCAAATATGCTTTTAAATGATGATTGAATATTTCCTTTTTTTAATTATTTTTATTATTATTTTTCAATCTCAATCAACTTTTATAACTTTATGCCAGCACGATACAAATACATGTGTCTTTATTTTTTTTATTATTTTCATTATTATTTTTCAATCTCAATCAACTTCTATAACCTTATGCCAGCAGGATACAAATACATGTATGTCTTTATTATTGTATCAACTCTTGTCTTTTCCATGTAACCATGTCTTCATAGTTTGAATTATCCCTTCATCTTCTCAATCTTTCGCAGAGATTTAATTAATTAAATACACTTCACACGAAATAAAGTTTGCTGGAAGATATACAGCAAACGATAACTGTAAAAACATGATTACGTGGAAAGAACAAGAGTTGGTACAGTAAAGGCAAGTAAGTAAGTACATGTAATGTATCGTATTGGCATAACGCTATATCCGCGGAGCAGATAATGTGGCTGTAGAGGTAGTCTGCAGTGCAGCTAATGTGGACGTAGATGTTGATTGAGATAATTGTCTAATATAAAATAGAATTTAAAAATTTAGTTTAAAAAGCTGTTGCATATATAAATAAAGTTTATTTTTTCTAAATTTGGAATATGTTTAATTAATTAATTTTTTAAGTCTATGTTTAATAAATTTTTTAAGTCTGTATTCAATAATTTTATTCATTTGATAAATACATGTATGTCTTTATTTTGATATGTTTAATATAATTAGAAATTCATTATTAATTAGATATGTAAACTATAAATTCATATATAATATTTGAAAATATATGTGAATATTTAAATTTTTATCTTCTCCTTCCTCTCCTTCAATCTCTTTAATATCAATATGTGTATGTGTGTACACGCGCGCACATTTGTACGTATTTATTTAATTATTGGATAGTTGAGAGTACTTAATTGATAAAAAATTATGACAATAATAATCCTTGTTTTTTTTTCTTATTATTTACTCAGATTTTTTTGTCTATCTTATAAGATAAACACTTTAGAGATTGAATATTTCAAGTAAACTAATTGTAAGTAAATTTCACATTAATGCATATAGATGTTTAATCATGAATGTACTAAATAAGTACACAAGACGAACAGTGAGTGAGTGAGTGAGAATGAGAGAGAGTGTGTGTGTGTGCGTGTGTGTGTGAGAAAGAGAGAGAGAGAGAGAGAGAGAGAGAGAGAGAGAGAGAGAGAGAGAGAGAGAGAGAGAGAGAGAGTTAGCCAACATAACCCCGCACGCTGCCGATCATGAATGTACTAAATAAGTACACAAGACGAACAGTGAGTGAGTGAGTGAGAATGAGAGAGTGTGTGTGTGTGTGCGTGTGTGTGTGAGAGAGAGAGAGAGAGAGAGAGAGAGAGAGAGAGAGAGAGAGAGAGAGAGAGAGAGAGAGAGAGAGAGAGAGAGAGAGAGAGAGAGAGAGAGAGAGAGAGAGAGAGAGAGAGAGAGAGAGAGAGAGAGAGAGTTAGCCAACATAACCCCGCACGCTGCCGATATGGCGGAGCGCCACTATCGCCATCTGTTGTAAAACGTGCGAGATGGACAAAATTACCACTACATGCATCTTGCATGTGTTGTGTACGTGTGATATATGTGTGCGCATGTGTTGTATACGTGTGAATACGTGTAGCACGATACTACTATGTATGCGTGGTCGATGATGATAATGATGATGATAATGATGATAATGATGATGATAATGATGACGGGGACGTTTCTTAATAGAAATTTTTCATATTTCGACTTTGCATTTATATATCTCTGCTTACTAATCACGTAGAGCAGAAATAAAGACACTTTTATTATATAATTCGAACTCAATCTATCGATTAAGTCTAGTATAAACTCGATTGCTTCAGCCATTATTGAGGATTCGAAATATTATAAAGACTCAAATGTCCGACTCGCGTTAAGATACACGGTGTCTCCGCTAAGCCCTTAACTGGTCGCGAGACACTACCGTGTCTCTTGATATTAAAAAATTTAATAACACGATTAACCTATAAAAAGACACTGAGAATTTGATTTATGATATTTATGATAGAGTGATAAAGTGTTTAGTTTAGTTATTGTTTTACCATCTAGTTGAAAGGTTGAGTTCACACATGGTATTATACTTATGTTTGTTATGTGTATTTTAAATAGTTAAATTTAATTTCTATTTCAGATATGTTGAAATTATTAAATTATCAATGTATTGTCAAGCTGAAATTGCAATTATGTTTATATTTAATGATTATTGTATAAAAATTGATGTTCCATGATTAAATAATCCTTAATTAGTGTATTTTTTGTAGACTTGATAAGGACCCAAAACAAGGGTCGAAACGTTGTCTTGATTTAATAATATGTCTTAGTAATAATAAATATATTTTTATGCCAGTTGGGTCGATAATTTTGTTTATTTTGTTTTAATGTAAAAATTCGTATTCTATCACGGGTAGAAATTTTATTTTTTACATTTAAAGAGTATTTGTAATTATATTGTAATAAATGTTTCCACTCTTAACTTTATTGTTTTATGTCACAGAAATTACTTTCAATTTTATATTTTAATTGTTCTTTAAATAATCGAATATTTTCAACGTGACCATCGGCAGAATGATCGTGTCTTTTAGTGTTAAATCTATCGTGTTATCTATGATAACACCGATGCTTGTTATGTCAACTATACGGTTGCAAAATATATAAAAGGTGATTCATTGTAAAGCGAAGCTGTATCTCATAGATAACTGATCATTGAGTCATTACAATTATTTCCCGGTTTTCGAATTTATTTATGATGAGTTGTTAAGTCATAAAAAAATCTCTTGACTTCGAATTTTGATAAATAATTTGGATTTTCTCTCCTCTTTTTAGTCATCGATCCAATAACTTTTCGAAGAATCCTTATTCATTGTAATTAAAGTATATTAATCGATGCTCGTAAATAGGAAATGACTTTGTTTCATAAATATTAAAAAATGTCGATGAAACGAGTTTTTTTTATTTTGCAAGTACGTATTTATATATGCATTTGTCTCACGCATTTTATCGTGCACAAGTATGTACTTTAAAAGGTGTGGCAAGCATGATCATCGTAAATATTATATAATATAATATTTATATATTATATATATTATATTATATACATAAAATATCATATATAATATACATATTATTATATACGTATGTAAATTCAAAATCTAAAATATTCATAATATAAAATAATAATATTTTATTTTGTATTTTATTATAAATAAAAATTAACTTTATGTTATACGAAAATAATCTTTTCAAAGTATTGACATACCGGTGTGTGAACAGCTTGTTGTCTCTAAATGAAAATTTCGGTATTTTGTCTTACTTATTAAATTTCGGTATTATGACTTTTCGGAACAATATTTTATATCTTAAATTTTGAAATTATAATTTTTTGGCAATGCATATCCTCCACAATAAGTATAATACTATATCCTCCACAATAAGTATATACTATCTATACGGAAAATTATTGTTTCTTCAAAATAATATAATATTGTTGACAGATGATGGAAAGACAATAGATGTAAAAAAATTATCTGCCAAGTTTACTACGGATGTGATTGGTAGCACCGCTTTTGGACTCAACACGAATTCTTTCAAATATCCGGATGCTGAGTTTTGCAGACACGGCAACATGATCTTTAGGCCTGCTCGTTCTTTTGAGATATTCATATCAGTTTTCATGCCAACGTTAAGTCGTATGATTGGTCTGACGTTTTTTGGCAAACAGACGGATGCATTTTTCCGTAAAGTCTTTTGGGAGGCGATCGCACAACGCATAGAATCCGGCAAGACGAGAAATGATCTCATTGATATTCTTATCGAATTGAAAAATGATCACGGTGACAAAGATATTGGAGGATTTAGTAAGCAGATTAAAATTAACGTTAATCGTGACAAGCAAAAAGAGGCAAATATACAAAGGTTTAATTTTAATTTCTAGAATTTGATGGGGACGATCTATTAGCGCAAGCTGGAATTTTCTTCGCGGCCGGTTACGAAACCTCCTCGACAACGATGTCTTTCACGTTGTACGAACTTGCATTACATCCTGAAATACAGGACAAAGTGAGGAAAGAAATTTTTGAGGCGATTATTGAATGTGATGGAAAAATTACATATGAAATGGTTGGTACACAAGTATCAATTAAGATATTTATTTTTGCTTTTCATCGAATCTGAAGAGCGTCAGTAATGCACAACTGAAATATAAGAATGACAGATATACCTTTAATACTCTAGATCATGTCATTATCGTACCTCGAAATGGTGTTCCTTGAAGTTTTGAGAATGTACCCACCATTAGAATATTTACAACGTACAACTACCGAAGTTTATAACATGCCAAATTCCAACCTTGTACTCGAAAAAGATACACCGATCTTTATATCGGTCCGTGGTTTGCATAACGATCCAAAATATTTCCCCAATCCGGATAAATTTGATCCGGAGCGATTCAATGAGGAGAACAGACACAAGAGGCCGATGTGCGTGCATCTTCCATTTGGAGATGGTCCACGTAGGTGTATAGGTAAGAAAATCGATTTTAATTTAAAGATTGATATATTATGTTATGTTCAAAATTAGATAAATGAAAACATTCCACATAAATATACAATGCATAAACTTGTTTTGACTATATTTTGACATTTATGCAAACGTTGAAGAAGAGTAAAATTAAAAATTATGAAATTACATTTTATTTGTATACAATTACAAAATTATTTAAAATTATTTTATTTAAGAGTTTAACAAGGCTCTGTAATATAAATATAAATTTAAAGTGTAAGACAAGCAATAAGAGCTAAATCGTGGATGACAGTGCGTTATCCCAACGAAACTAAATTTTTTTGTTAGAATTAAATACCTGTGCACAAGGCACCAAATTTTTACTTGGACACGGCCAAGATTTAAAATTGGAATAATCTCTACAAGAGATTTAATTCCATACATCCCCTGTTCCCCTCTAAGGAAATAAATGCGAGAGAAAAATATAGATCCGAAAGTCGCTGAATCGGGAATCGAACCCGAGACCTTTCGCTTGCCGGGCGACTGCTCTTCCAACTGAGCTATTCAGATCTTTTTGATTCTATACTTTTCTCTGTTATACGAGGGTCGTTTGAAAAATCCGTGCAAAAATAAAACTACTTTATTGTTTGGGGTAAATCTTTTTTTTTTCAACATAGTTTCCTTTTAGGCTTATACACTTTGTCCAACGCTGCTCTAGTTTGTTGATCCCTTCCAAATAATAGAATTTGTCCAAGTCTGAAAAATAGCCATTCGTGTCTGCAATCACCTCCTTGTTTGAATAAAATCTTTTTCCCGCCAGCCATTTCTTCAAATTAGGGAACAAATAATAGTCCGAGGGAGCCAAGTCTGGAGAATAGGGGGGATGTGCAACGAGTTGGAACCCTATTTCCATTAATTTTGCGACCACAACTGCTGAGGCGTGAGCTGGTGCGTTGTGGAAAATCACTCGACTTCCTCGTTTCAAACGAATGCCAAACACAAAGAAATAGACCGATCTAGCTGAAACTTGGTGTGTCTTCTTCTAAGAGATACTACTAACTAAACATAACCTCGATACGCGCCAGTAGTGCCATTTCTCTGACTTTGCACGGACTTTTCAAACGACCCTCGTATATATAATAATGTTGATAAACAAACGCCTTTAAGCCAGCGTGTACAAATTAAGAATTTAACAAGGCTCTGTAATATAACTATAAATATAAATTGAGAGTGTTAAACAGGCAATAAGAGCCACATCGCGGATGACAGTGCGTTATCCCAACGAAACTAAATTTTTTCGTTAAGATTAAAACCTGTGCACAAGGCACTAAATTTTTACTTGGACACGGCCAAGATTTAAAATTGGAATAATCTCTACAAGAGATTTAATTCCATACATCCCTTGTTCCCCTCTTAAGGAAATAAATGCGAGAGAAAAATATAGATCCGAAAGTCGCTGAATCGGGAATCGAACCCGAGACCTTTCGCTTGCCGGGCGACATTTTCTCTTGCATTTATTTCCTTAGGGGAGAACAGGGGATGTATGGAATTAAATCTCTTGTAGAGATTATTCCAATTTTAAAATCTTGGCCGCGACCAAGTAAAATTTGGTGCCTTATGCACAGGTATTTAATTCTAACGAAAAAATTTAGTTTCGTTGGGACAACGCACTGTCATCCGCGATTTGGCTCTTATTGCCTGTCTTACACTTTAAATTTATTTTATTTAATTTATTAAAATCTGAAACATTATTTGTGTTACAAGTACAGAAAATTGGCTATTGGTCACGAGTGCGGGTAAGCGTACGAGCCGAAGGCGAGTGCGCGTTTACCTGCACGAGTGGACAATAGCCAACTTCCATACGTGACACAAATACTATTTTGTATTACTAGCAACCACGGTCGTATACACAGGTATCGAAACTCTCATGGTGGTGGTAAGACTCTTAATGTCATGATTTGTGGGTTCATAAATCGGTCGTTAATCGCGGAACGACAGTGCTCTGGCACTGTGATCGCTGAGTAAGGCCGGCGTCCCATGGAGCGGATTATGCGGAAGCAGAACCAGTGGATCGCCAATCACGGAATCGTTCCGATAGAACTTATTGATGAGCTCCATCGGAACGATTCCGTGATTGGCGATCCGCTGGTTCCGCTTCCGCGTAATCCGCTCCATGGAACGCCGGCCTAAAGAGCTTATATCTGTACAAATTAACAGAAGCATATAAGTATATGCATAAGAAATTTTATTGATATTCTTGAAGTATTTTTAAGTTTTGTGGTTAAAAATAATATAATTTTTTATTGTAAATGCATGATGTTTTAAATATAATTTTATAAATATTTTTTAGATATAATTCTACCAGATAATAATCCTTAAGATTCGCCAGTAATAATTAATAAAAATCTTTCCTCATGGTAAAAGTAGCTCATTCAACCGAAATAAATTTGATGCGCGAACTTGTATGGTGTTGCCTTACATTAGAGATTTGAGCGAGAATATTACGCGTTGCATTAATAAAAATGGAATTGATGTAGTATATACCGTTTCAAAAAAATTAGACACACTGATAAAAAGAGGAAAAAATAGGATAGACAACTTAAAAAGAACCGATGTCGTGTATAAAATTGAATGTGCGAATTGTGATTCTACGTATATTGGACAGACAAAGAGACATTTAGAAACGCGCATCAAAGAACATAGAAATAATATCAAAAAAGACACTACATTGCATTCAGTCGTTAGTTTGCATCGGACTTGCAACGATCATGAGTTCCGTTGCGATTCTCCGGTGATCTTGCATCAAGAAAAACAAACAAGAAAAAGAGAAATTGCAGAAATGTTTTATATAAAAAAACAAAGTAAAAAGCATTAATTTCCAGAAAGATACGGAGAATTTTAGTGGGATTTATGATCGTGTTCTTGACGCTATTTAAATTATTTTTATTTTTATCTATTTATTTATTTATTTGACTTTGTTATGAGGTTTAAGATTGCAAAAGACACATTAGTTTTGTCTCGATTTTCTTAACGCGTAGTGACTAAGATTCTTACTAACTGTTAACATCTATTTATTTCTTGCTTACTTCTGTCAATTCTACATTGTTCATTAAAACAATGATGAATATTGTCGGTGATATGCAGTGAATTTGATTTACTGTATTAATTTATTATGCATTTACGTTTGGTATGTAACATATTTTTGTATATGAATTTATAATTATTGTTGCAATGAAATGTATTAAAATTATAATTATTTTTATGTAACTTTTTATAGATTTACTTGAAAAGGGCTGCAATGACAGCCGAAATGTTGTATTTTAACTAATTATTTATAATAAATGATTGCCAGTTTGGTCGATTTTTACGATGAGGAAAGATTTTTATAATTCTACCATATCGCATATTGTTCGATAGCAGAGCAAAAACGCGAGCGATAAGTGTCAAGAGAGAAGTGCGCGACAAAGAAAAGGACGTTTTCGCAAAAGCGATTAATTAGAGAGTCGATTTTTAGACGCATACAATGTATATTTAAGACGGACACTATTTACAGGCTATTTACACTGGTTAAATAAACCGTAGTTTAATACGTGAATCCGCGAGCTACGGAGAAGGCGTTGCGTTAGTTGCTGGCTATACGCGAGCTACGTAAAATCAGAAACGCGCCGAAATCGTACTTGCACTTGCGACAGATATGCTTCTAATTCTGAGAGCGACTATATCCCGGTCGATCTGAGGTGCCCTTTTATAGCAACGTTTTTCGAGAAGATTCTAGATGCCTTTATAGAATTACATGTTATTATTTTAGAATTGTCTCGAAGGACATTAGCGTATTATTTTTCGTAGAGAGAATGTTGTTGTTTACAGTTCTCATATTAGCGCTTGCTATAGGCGCTTTGGACTGTATACGCGCGGTGTCGCGATTAGCAAAGATAATCCGCGGTAATTTTGCCTAAATTCGACTTGCACTAGGGCGTTTTTAAACACATATCAATATCAATAAAAATATGATTAATATATATTTTTATTATATATATTTGCACATATGCAAATATTTTCAAGAATTGTACATAAATAACAAAAATATCTGTGTATTAAATAATATATTTATATATTATTACACGTTATATATTTATATGTTATTACGCATACACCTTTTTACAAACAATTTTAAACATTGCTTAGTTTAGACATTTTTCGTTGATGTTCGAAAATCGAACGTCAAAAAGCTGAAAAGTCTTAAAAAACATTATTAATTAAAATTCATGCAGGCCTTTCATTCACATGCAACATGCATCATACTTAATTTTATATTAATATTATTTTCAAATAGCGCTCGGCCGCACAGATATACGTATACCCCGCGCCTGCGAACAGAAAGCGCTTTCGTCAAATCTCATATAATAGTAAACACCGCGGTCGCGCGAGAGGAGATACAATTTAGTTCCCGATAATAACAAAACGACTATTTTCCTGAAAGTAAACAATTACACTAAACGCTCTTTCGTCCTCAGCCGAACGATAAAATTAAGAAAATCTTTCTAGACTATTCTAGAAATACGGGTCTATATAAACCTCCTCTCTCGTGATCGCGGTGCTCTTTCCGATTGCTCGTCGCGAATAGAGTGTGCTTCTACTTTACGAAAAAGATCGCTTGTCTTTTTCGGTTTTCTCGTCTAATTACCGTTGCTAGCGGAACATTCAGTAATTTATCTTCGACCCGGCTTTTCTCTCGTTTATTGCATTCTTTTCTAATACGTTCGACTCGGCTATCTTTTGGTAAATTCTGTGCGGTTAAACAATTGTATTTTTTGTTAATAGTTGAAATATAATTTTTGTTAACGATACGCGTATGTCGAGTGTAGTGCCTATCTATCGTCTCGCTTCCGATCTTCCTTTCCCGCTATCCATTGTGCACAGTTGAATAATAGATTTTTTTGTACTTTTTGGTTTTCTTGATAAGTAAACTGACGGATTCTTAATCGGATGTAATAGAACACAGCGTAAGATAAAATGTTTGAACCGTGATCTTTACAGGAAAATGTAAATTCATAATTATCTAATACCCAGATAGCCAC